TTGCAGCAGATTTACCCAATGCATCTTTTGATATCTTGACTGCTGCTTCCATGACTGTTGATTGTGGATTCAAGCAACATGAATTCTTTGGCAACTTCAATCTTTTCTCAGATTATTATGATGTTATTTATTGGTCCCTTCATGAGGAGTTTTGTTTTCTTGACATTGAGGTGCAGTCCATACTGAAGGCTGTATTCTTTGATCTTCATCTTTAAGTATTATAAGTTCTCTTTGCTTCCACCAAGAAAGGTGTCATTTGACTACCTCAGGTTGTTAATGAACCTTCTTTCAATCCTGATTTTGTACTTTTCTTCATATAATACAGTTTCTTGGATTATTTTCTCAGGATACAGTTTGAATAAGTATGGTGAGAGGATACAATCCTGGAGCACATCTTTCTGGATTCTAAACCATTCATTGTCTCCTTGTTCTGTCTTAGTGATTGTCTCTTGGTCTATGTAAAGTTTCCTCATGAACACAATAAAGTGTTCTGTAATACCCATTCTTCCTGATAATATACCTAGTTGTTATGATCCACAGAGTCAAATGCCTCTGCATAATCATTAAAGTTCAAGTACGTAAAGTACGTATCTTTTTGGTATTCTCTGCTTTCAGCCAAGATCTGTCTGACATCAGCAATTATCTCCTTAGTTCCATATCTTCTTCTGAATTCAGCTTGAATTTCTGGCAGCGCCTTGTCAATGTACTACTGCTAACATTTTGAATTATCTTCAGCAAAATTTTGCTTGCATGTAATGTGTTATTGTTTGATAATTTCTACATTCTGTTGGGTCACCTTTCTATGGAATTGGCACAAATATGGATCTCTTCCAGTTGGTTTGCCAGCTGTCTTCCAAATGCAGGGATAAATTATTTCTTGGGATAAATGAAGGAACTTCTCCAGGGGAGCATCAGTTTGATGAAAGATTTCCATTTATATTGAACCTTGAATTTTGTCAGTAACTTCAGTGTAGCTTGAAATTCTTCCTTCACTACCATCAATTCTTGATCATATGCTACCTCCAGAAATGGCTGAACATTGACCAATTCTTTTTGGTACAGTGACTGTGTATATCCCTTTCATCTTCCTTTAATGGCTCCTGTATCATTCAATATTTTGCCTACATGATCCTTCAATATTGCAATCTGAGGCCTGAATTTTTTCTTCAGTTTTTTCAGCTTGAGAAATGCTGAGCATGTTGTTCCCTTTTAGTTTTCTAACTCTATGTCTATGCATATTTCATTATAATACTTGACATTATCTTCTGGATCTACCCTTTGAAAATTTCTGCTCAGTTCTTTTACTTTCTCATTTCTTCCAGTCTCTTTAGCTTTTCTATGTTCAAGAACAAGTTTCAGAGTCTCTTCTGACATCTATTTTGGTCTTTTCTTTCTTTCCTGTCTTCATAATGACCCTTTGCTTTCCTCATGTACGACGTTCTTGATATCACCCCACAACTCTTCTGATCTTCAATCAGTGTATGTAATGCATCAAATCTGTTCTTGAGATTGTTTCTAAACTCAGATGGGATATATTCAGGCTTATATTTTGGCTCTGTTGGAGTTGTTTTACTGTTCTTCAGCTTCAGCCTTAACTTGATGGTCTGTTCCATAGTCGGCCATTGACCTTGTTTTGACAGATGATATTGAGCTTTTCTACCATCTCTTCCAACAGATTTAGTTAATTTGATTCCAATGTGTAGTCCATTTAGTGAGGCCCAGTGAACTTATAATTAACTCATTGGTCTTACAAAATTCAATCATGTGCGTTCCAACATCATTTCTATCCCAAGGCA